CACACATGTATCCTGATTTGTGTTTAATTCCATAGATTAGTATTATATCTACTTAAATATCACTGTGTGATGTTACAAAATGCCACATGTAAAGAAACCTGCTCCGTTAAAGTGAAGCCCTTTTCTCTCTCCATTCACAACATAGCCTCAATCAAAAGTGTTTAGTCGCTGTTCAGCCCGACTTGGCCCGTGCTGTCCAAAACACCTTTAACCTCACACATGTATCCTGATTTCTGTCTATATCTCTAGAATAGAGTCATATCTACCTAAGTATGTCTTTATAGAGTCTCAAAGCGTAGTATTTGAAGCAAACACGTTGCTTAAAGTGAAGCCCCAATTTCTATACATTCCAACAACCACATAGTATAACATGCTTTCGGTCCGGCTTGGCCCGGGCTCTCAAAAACAACCTTAACCCCACACATATGTCCTGATTTGTGTTTCATTCCATAGATTAGTATTATATCTACCTCAATATCACTGTGTGATGTTACAAAATGCCACATGTAAAGATAACTGGTACGGTAAAGTGAAGCCCTTTTCTCTCCCCAAACACAACATAGCCTCAATCAAAAGTGTTTAGTCGCTGTTCAGCCCGACTTGGCCCGTGATGTCAAAAACAAACTAAACCTCACACATGTATCTTGAAATGTGTTTATATCCATAGATTAGTGTTTGATCTACCTAAGTACGTCTTTATAGAGTCTCAAAGCGTAGTATTTGAAACAAACACGTTGCTGAAAGTGAAGCCCCAATTTCTATACATTCTCAACAACCAAATAGTATAACATGCTTTCGGTCCGGCTTGGCCCGGGCTCTCAAAAACAACCTTAACCCCACACATATGTCCTGATTTGTGTTTCATTCCATAGATTAGTATTATATCTACCTAAATACGTCTTTATTGAGGCTCAAAGCTTTGTTCATGTTTTTGAATCTAACACGTTGCTTAAAGTGAAACCCAGTGTTCAATCTGGCTCTGTGCGGGCTAATGAAATTAATACACCTGTTAATTACACCTGTATCCAGCTTGCTTAATTGCCCCTTGACTAATTGCAATCAGCTAGGTGTTGTGATTCAATTAACATACTCCATTGTTGCCCTTAATTACCGTTCAGGGGCCTTCAGTGTTATTTATTATTACTCCACCGTTTCTTCATAACGTTTATCACAGAGGGGCATGTAATCACTGACTAAATTAGTAATGCTAAAAATGAGGCATTTGTTCTGTTGTATATATAGGCTGTGGAAGCATAAATAATTATTTATGCTTCCACTCGTGTTATGTTCCAGAGTATAAACATTAATGAATACTAGGTCCGATACCTTTTGCAGGCTGAAGCTATTCGTGATATGATTTACACATATACTTAACTTAATAAATATCAGAAGATATTATACCCAATTATATGACATGAAATGCTTGAAAGAGGTGGGTTTTTTTAGTGGTTTCAGAATACAGGATGTTCTCCGTACAGTTTCCACAGTATAAACATCAATTCATACTAGTACAGATATAGATAGCCGGCTGAAGCTATTCATGACACGATTTGAACATATCAGTAATTTAATAAATATCAGAAGGTATCAGCTAAAATGACTTGCCGTATGAGATGTTATGGTTATATAATTTGAACATACGAAAGTATGAAAACACATCCACGGCAATGACACTGTCTTGCCCAGCTCAGGCTCGGGAGAACATTGTTTTCACTGTGAGAGCTTTGCCAAAGGTTACTCTGAGATGCCGTTTCCTGATGTTGTAAACTTTAAAGAGTTTCAGATAATCCTATTTTCCTGAACACGCATACAGACAATAGAAGTATTAGAGAGAGCAGTGGGAGAAGTATGTTTTCATAAAATCCACAGTGTCCCGCCTAGATTTCTCCAAATGCATCCATAAAAAACTGGCCAAGCTGGGCAGTAGCAGCCTATATTCAAATCATCTGATCTGAAAATCAGGTGTTTTTGAGAGCCCGGGCCAAGTCGGGCTGAACAGAGACTAAACACTTTTGATTGAGGCTATGTTGAGAATGGAGAGAGAAAAGGGCTAACTTTAACGAACCACTTATCCTTACATGTTGCATTTGATAACATTACAAAGTGATATTTAGGTAGATATAATACCAATCTATGGATTTAAACCCATTTCAAGATACATGTGTGAGGTTTAAGGTGTTTTTGACAGCACGGGCCAAGTCGGGCTGAACAGAGACTAAACACTTTTGATTGAGGCTATCTTGTGAATGGAGAGAGAAAAGGGCTAACTTTAACGAACCACTTATCTTTACATGTTGCATTTGATAACATTACAAAGTGATATTTAGGTAGATATAATACCAATCTATGGATATAAACACATTTCAAGATACATCTGTGAGGTATAAGGTGCGTTTGAGAGCCCTGGCCTAGCCGGACCGAAAGCTTGTGATACTGTGTCTTTGTTGAGAATGTATAGAAAATAGGGCTTCACTTTGAGCAAGGCGCTTGCTTCAAATACTACGCTTTGGGCCTCTGTGAAGTAATATGTAGGTAGATATAATACTAATCTATGGATATAAACACATTTCAAGATACATGTGTGATGTTTAGTTTGTTTTTGACAGCACGGGCCAAGCCGGGCTGAACAGCGACTAAACACTTTTGATTGAGGCTATGTTGAGAATGGAGAGAGAAAGCTTCACTTTAACCAGCCAGTTATCTTTACATGTGGCATTTTGTAACATCACACATTGATAGTTAGGTAGATATAATACAAATATATGTATTTCAAGATACATGTGTGTGGTTTTTGAGAGCCCGGGCCAAAGCGGACAGAATGCTTGTGATACTGTGTCTTTCTTGAGAATATATAGAAAAGATAGCTTCACTTTCAGCAACGTTTTTGCTTCAAATACTGCGCTTTGTGCCTATGTGAAGTGATATTTAGGTAGATATAATACAAATCTATTGATATAAATACATTTCAAGATACATGTGTGAGATTGAAGTTGTTTCTGACAGCACGGGCCAATTCGGGCTGAACAGAGACTGAACACTTTTGATTGAGGCTATGTTGAGAATGGAGAGAGAAAATGGTTTCACTTTAACGAGCCTGTTTTCTTTACGTGTGGCATTTGATAACATTACACATTGATAGTTAGGTAGATATAATACTGATCTATGGATTTAAACACATTTCAAGATACATGTTTGAGATTGAAGCTGTTTCTGACAGCACGGGCCAATTCGGGCTGAACAGAGACTGAACACTTTGATTGAGGCTATGTTGAGAATGGAGAGAGAAAATGGCTTCACTTTAACGAGCCTGTTTTCTTTACATGTGGCATTTGATAACATTACACATTGATAGTTAGGTAGATATAATACTGATCTATGGATTTAAACACATTTCAAGATACATATGTGGGGTTTAAGTTGTTTTAAGAGCCCGGGCCACGGCAGACCGAATGATTGTGATACAGTGTCTTTGTTGAGGATAAGTAGAAAAGATAGCTTCACTTTGACCAACGCTTTTGCTTCAAATACTACGCTTTGAGACTCTGTGAAGTGATATGTAGGTAGATATAATACTAATCTAAGGAAATAAATAAATTTCAAGATACTTGTGTGAGGTTTAAGGTGTTTTTGACAGCACGGGCCAAGTCGGGCTGAACAGAGACTAAACACTTTTGATTGAGGCTATGTTGAAAAATGAGAGACAAGGGCTTCACTTTAACGGAGCCGTTTTCTTTACATGTTGCATTTTATAACATTACAAAGCGATATTTAGTAGATATAAGACCATTCTATGGATTTAAACACAATTCAAGATACGTGTGTTACGTTTGAGTTGCTTTTGACGGCTCAAGTCAAGTCGGACCGAACAATTGTGGCCGAGATAATGTTGAGAGTGTGGGGGAGAGATCGTATCATATAAAGGTGGGCATGCTTTAAATACGATGAATAATGAAATTATGGGGTAGTATGTGATTGGATATAGATGTAATAAACCGATGGAAATGTGTATCGGAATTGACTGAAGTATTTATACGTTTTAAATCCTGTTTCGTTTAACGATTCGACTTTTAGACGTAACCTCGGTCAGCCAGTTCACAGGCTTCTCGTCTTCCTGAGTTTTAGCCGATTTACTCGTAATAAAGTTATTATAGTACGCGTTTATGGCTTCTGATTGATCATTATTACCATGCGTGTATGTTGCATTAATTAATTGTAGGCATGGTGATCGTTAATGGGTTTATTAGCCAATTATATATTTGGCCCGCCTTGGCCCGGCCCGGCCCGACTTTTAGGCCATCCCTATTTGCATACTATTCTGGATCATTTTCCGCCCAGTCTCCCTGGACGGTAGTTGGCACAAACAGAATTATCAACTCGACATGGTTGACCAGAAGGGAATTTATCTTCCTATTTGTCGGCTGCTTTTTATTCAGTCGGTCTATTTGGGTGTTTTTTGTGAGCATGGTGTAGTGCATTTTATACAGACCTGAGTGGTGAATAGAAAAACCAGCAGAAATTCGAGATTGGTCTTCTACGAAATAAATATTTTGAACTCATTGAACGAGTCTTAAGGTATGTACTCTGTGCACATTTCCGTAGATTGAAGTGACGTGATTCTCACCAGAATCATTATATTATAGCGTATTATTCCCTGAAATTCTGCATTACCCCTAATGGAGGGATGACACAATCATTTACCACGCCTAGTCACGAATACAAACAACATGGGCATATATTTGAGATTGATTATTCTCGGGCAATAATGTTTTAAATGCATAAAACGGGTCTTTCGGTTTTAAGTCCTGTACATTACCTGAAACTACAGCAGACTAAAGTCCTGGAGTTCTCGTCAGGACCATGATGTGATCAGTCTGTTGATGAGCGCTGCCTTGTCATACGGCATTGTGTCGGAATGGAAAGGGAACTGTTGCTTTTTCTTCTGTGTTCTTCAGTCATGTGCAATGTCACCTTCCTTTCTCCAAGAGATTTAGTGTTAGAATATGTCTCCAACCACAATCCCCCTCGATCACCCAGTGCCTATTTCCAAGTCCATTCTGGAAGTGTCTGTCAACTTTAATCTGCTTCATATTGAAGATCTGGACGAGACAAAACAAATGTTGACCACCACTGGATGGTTCTTCTTCAGGTGGACCCTTCAAGGATTGTCATGGGATGAAACTAAATTTCAGAATATCTCAAGGGTTTCGGTTTTACCAAAGGACATGTGGTTGCCAGATTTAGTGTTGCTCAATGCAAATGACAACTATGGCCGTCTTGGGGGCGAACATCAACCATGTACTATAAGAAACAACGGAACTGTGGAGTGGTACGCCATAGATCGCCGCTCAACTACCTGTATTGTAGATGTCACAAGCTTCCCGTTTGACAAACAACGGTGTTCCTTGGAGCTGTCGCAATGGATTACAGACACCTCAGAGGTAGATTACACATTTCACAATGTACCCATATCCTATAACACAGTTAAAGAAAATGGAGAGTGGGAGGTTTTGGATACGTTCGTAAAAGAATATCACATATACGACGGTTTATATCAGGTCCTGGAACTGGGACTTATCCTTGGTCGACGTCGAGCTTACTACATACTTACTGCAATTTTGCCAGTTTGCATCCTATCCTGTCTCAATCTAATGGTGTTCCATGTGCCCCCGGAGTCAGGAGAGAAGATGAGCCTGTGTGTGTCTGTGATGTTGGCCTATGCAGTGTACCTGACATCCATCAACTCAGTCTTACCCTCTGTGTCCGACCACGTGGCTCTTTTCAGCGTTTACCTCCACTACATGTTTGTCCTCAAGGCTCTGACTGTTGTGGCGTCAGTCTTTGTCCTACACCTTCACTCAGCACTGCCCAAGTCGACAATTAGAAAACGGCTGACAAAGCATCTTTCTCCCAATCCAAAGAAAGCTACACCAGGTGCCTTTGTGGCTGATAATACCGACGAAGCAAATAACCTGAATGGTGAATCTGTGAAAACTAACAAAAATGCTGAAGACTTAAAAATCTTGCTGGAACAAGAGCAATGGGTTGACATTGTCAAAAAGGTGGACCTTCTGTTCTTTTGTATTTTCTTAATGCTGTTCATTTTGTCGACAGGTGGATTTTTCTGCGCAATTGCATCCACTCAAGAGTAATTTTGCATTTGTGATTCTTTTAGTTATACAGTAATATGACATGTCTGTTGTACTCGTCAAAATATTGCCAGCTTGGCTGGGGATAGCCGACCTACGCAGCCTACGTCCCTGGGAACTGCAGACCGAAGCAGATTGTTAGTCGTTCATCTGCCTATAAAAGCAGACATGACAGGCAAACAGAGCAGAGCAGACAGCGAGGAGAAGACTGGACGAACTAACCTGTCAATCCAGCCCAACTCCTGATCACTTCGCCGCCTTCCCTTTGTAGCCATTGTTGGACTCTGCAAGTTGAGTGTTCACTTTTCGCCCTGCCCTACAAGTTGTACTGTAAGAAATAAAACTACCATTCTTTGTTTGACACTACGCTTCGTGTTGTCCCAAGGGATCCGGAGGTGTTACACAACCGCCTTGACTAACATATCACTAAAGGTGAGGTGAGGTGAAATGGGGTATAATAAAGCACTTAAGAATATTTCGCTCATATGACGACGTGCATGCGTGTGTATGTGTGGCTGCTTGTACTCGCCCTGACTAAGCTGGTTTTATAGTGCTAGCTCACTGAGATACCATGCCGCAGTGAAGCATGAATACCCCACTCAGACACATTATACTGACTCCGAGCCGACCCGTCCTTGTTGTACCCAGTAATCCCGAGCGCCAGGCAGGGACCAACAAGTACTATATTTTAACGTCTTTTGGTATGACGCGGCCGGGGGTCGAACCCGCGACCTTCGGCTCACTTCACTAAAGGAAGGTAATATGAACTTCGAACTATTTTTGTCAGTTACTGAGGGAAGTCATGATTAAATAATGATACTATAATAACAGAATGCGATAATGCAGCTACTACAACATTCAAAGAGTGTGTCGGAATACATTTTGTGTGGAAAACTCTCGAAAAATGTTTATTCTTGGTTTAGTCCCCATGGTCCCTAGTATGGGGATCTACCTTCAGTCGTTGGAAATCTATAGCCTGCTTTTTATATTGTATTGTCATTTATAGTTCCAATATTTTAGATTTAATTGCTAGTTTTAAATGGATATTTGTGACACACCAGTAGTTTTACTGTTCTTCGTCAACAGTTTTTTTAATGTCTTACTTTATTGACCTATAATATAATTATAAACTATTCTCGTCACGATATGGCTGAAATATTGCCGATGTGACGATACATATTGACTCACTCACTCATTCTTGGTTTGGTTTTTGATGCTTTCGCCATGTTATCTGGTACAGTTGTTGTGCAACAATCTTTCAATGCCTGTTGTGTTATTGCAGTGGGGTATTACAGTGTGATTCCATGATCCAGATTGACAACCAACTCAGAACATGTGACTGATCCCCGTTTTTCTCAATATGTTTGCTTATTTGGTTTTGTCAGAATGGTTATACATCTACTGTGCTTTCAAATGAAACGCTTTTTATTCAACACTTTAAACGTTGGTTATATATTCGGTTTGCACTGTTTAATAAGCACTACTACATTGGAAACACACAATGAATTTTCTCGTGTGTGCGTCTTTCAGATATTGTCACTAAATATATTTTCTTTAACCTATTGGTCCATTACCACTAACGGTTCAAGTTGGATATGTTATGAAACAAACAAATGTCTTTTCATCATAATAAATCATTTTTTCTTAGTGTGTTGTGTTTCACTTTTCTATTCTTAATGTGTGAGTGAGTGATGAATTTAGTTTTACGCCGCTTCCAGCAATATTCCAGCAATATCAGGGCGGGGATTACCAGAAATCGGCTTCACACACTGTACCCATGTGAGGCTGATGTGTAAGGGACTGTGTGCACTTATACATAGTTCAACTGCAACGTGTTACTTCACAAACCTTCCTCAACTGAAAAGTGATCAATACAAGACTGATCGAAGGCATATCTTTTGCACACAAATGCCAGTATTTACAAAGCTCTCAGGACATGTTTGGTTATTTCCTCAATTAATGGAATGGAAGTAATATCTTTAATAGTGTTTATTTAAAACCCATAACAACATGGTGTTTACAAACCTGTTTGTCATCCATATTCATCAGCATGTCTGTCAACCAATAACCTCAGTAGGTGGCAGGGTGAGGGAGTGAGTGAGTTTAGTTTTACGCCGCACTCAGCAATATTCCAGCTATATGGCGGCGGGTAGGTGGCAGGGTAATTGAAAGGGCACAAAACCAAGGAAACGTAATCGTGCAACATTTTAAACCTGTTTCAGCTGCGTAGAAGATTCTTTCATCTCCGTTGATGATAAGTATATCTGCGCAGAGTTTCATATGCGTAGATTAGAGAGAGAGAGAGAGAAGGGAAGAGAGAGAGAGAGAGAGAGAGAGAGAGAGAGAAAGAGAGAGAGTGTGTGTTTGTGTGTGTTTTATATCACAAAATGTTTGTTATGTTGGCATTTTTGCTCTGATAGGTTTTACATTACATTTAATAATAACATGATAACTGGAAGAGCCATAACACCATGTAGTTATCGATTAGACCTGAATAATCCGTGGAAAGATCCCTTCTAATCATAATGTGGAACCCAGCGCTTCAGCTCGCACGAACCACACCGTGTAATCCTCAAACCGTGAGGTCACAAAAATAAACAATGCAGCTGAGCCTTCGAAAGGGCTGTATTTGGTAGTCTTTGTTTTATCGGCATTCTTGCAGTTCGTTAGTCAAAAATGAAGCATTCATAATGAAGCGTCTATACCGAAACGTCGCTCTGTGCAATAAAAAAAAAGTTGTCATCCATAAAGTTGTACGTTTCATGATTTGGTAACGTCATTGGCAACCACATCGCCTCTTACGACAACCATGGGTTACTGAAGAACAATTCTAACCCGGATCTTCAGAGAGTATCAACACAAACGATGCAGGCATGGGCGGTTGTGAGTAGTTACCTGAGTTCCAAATTTAAGTCTTAATTATTAGAAAATGGGGTCCGTATCCCGCAAGTGACTCCACAGAAAAAGTAAATCCAACATGTAATACTTGATAAAGTTAACCTCTTTCTGTAAGGGATTGAAAATTTACAACTCCATTTTATGGAACATTTGAGAAATTCTGAATAAACACTTTTGGAAATATGCTATGTGATTTCTTTGTCATCTAAACACCAACAAATAACTCCCTCATCTCACAACCATGTGTATATGCAATATCGGAATCCAAGCTTCGTCCGATGGGCACTTATCATCTCATAGTGGATACATAGAAAGGACGTAAAAAATGCAACTGAGGACAATGCATTAAAAATATATGGGCTCATTCTTCTGTATGAAAAGTACTTCATATTTTCCATATCCAAACATAACCTTACACAATCTATCTTTAAGAAGAATGTAATGATAGGTATACTTTACTACAACTAAATAAGAACACACAATTGATGTTATAAAATGTAAACTACACTTTGAATAAGACCACTTCTGTTATATCTAGACTTCCGTGAATTACCAAAACTCTTATGCAGGAAAGGCGTTGCTGAATTTGTACGACATATACATAAATAGAGCATCCGAATGCTTTGGGACGCAGCGATACTTGGGCAACTAAATACAACAATAATTTATATGTGAGCTCACGCGTTGGCGTGTGAGATAGTTACCTTTCTTAATATGTATTTCGTCATGGGCAGTTTGATTCATTTGAACTGAACCCACGCAGGAATGTTTAACAATACATTCATTGACATACTCTTTGATTGCATACACACTTTAACATATACATATGCATTTAATTTATGTATTTAATCAACATTGCGTAATTTAAAATGTTGGTTATATTTAAATCAGTTGACACCATACAATACATCACGTGCTTGATAACGGCGCTAGTACCTACACCGAAACGTGGCACTCATTGCAATAAAGAAGTTGACTATCCATAGAACTTGGTATTCCAACATAGAAAATAACCAAGAGAATCATCTATTAGTGGCCATCTTTATTCGAAGTATGTCATCAGTGAAATTGCCGGTTAATTATACCGCTGGTACTGTTTGGATTCGTTGATTCCTCGTTGATTACATGTGTGTAAAGATTGGGCGTAAAACATGCGGACAAGGAGTAAGGATCCTCATGGGCACCATTTGAGCTCCCCTTCCTTTTTTATGCAAATCGATCAGAATTTTCGCTTGCAAAATCAAAACAAGGTAATTTAAGAGATTTAACATAAGCTTCATGTATATCGATAACCTAATATCGTTCCATAACCACCAAGTAACCGATTACCTTCGACTGATTTACTCACTTGAACGAGACATTAAGGAGACTGTATCATGTGGTTTCATACTTTGAACTGTGCATACAGATTCAGAGTGACAACAAATCCCCCACAAGGCCCTTTGACAAAAGTGATGATTTCAACTTTCAAACAGTCCCTTTTCCCTACTGTCGAGCAATATTCCAACAGTTCCAGCCTTCGGTGTTTACATTTCATAGCTTGTGGGGTACAATCCAGCATATCCCTTTTACGAAGATTTCAAAAAGCCATAAGAGTTTTGCTCAGAAGTAGTTCGATCAAGGTCACGATATTCAAGGCCTCAATAAAGCTTTCAAAGAGTTTATGATAGTCATGTGGAGGATTTCAAAAGTTCAAAATTTCCTTATTTTGGCTTGCTCCATGCGTTGCCGAATTTATTCAGGTGAACAGTTGATCAGCCTTTGCATATGTTTGTGACGGGTGCCACTGGTGGAGCAGGATACGGTCAACTTTTCGCGAACACCTGGTATCATTGTTTAAACATATCTATTCGTGAAAAATGAATGGATTGGCAAACAAGCTACAAGCTTATATTAATGCCGCTCCAATACAATTTACAAAGGTAAATAAACCAAACTTGTCATGCAAGATAATCACATGACAAACCACAAGGTTAATGTGCAGATATATTTCTTAATGCTGACATTTCTTCAACAACATTTGGTATCAAATCTACAAGAAGCAGTGATGAGGAGGTCAATAGCCTTTAAGATTGCTTGGTTATCAAGATCAGATATTTCACTAT